AACTTCTTTGTACTTGACTCTGTCAACTGCAAAACTGGGAAGAGCAACAATTTCCACTTTGTAGGGTTATTGTAATTACCACATAATCATGCATAGGAAGCCCCAAGCACAACGTAGCATGGTTTAAATGCTCAACCAATGTTATTTCAAATCTGAAATTGTTTCAGTCATCATCAAGTAATTACACTAACCCTAATTCTGAAGAAATCCAACACAGCAATCGTTAAACTGGCTCATACTGGTGAATCACTGTGTTATGCAAGGCTGACATAGTCAACTACACAAAAATCCAAAGGTGCTTCCTTGCAAGATGGCTTTCTCACTTAAGCACTTGTGTGTGTAATCTCCATGACTGGAGGCAAAAGGTGACAGTCCCGGCCTTCAAAGAGACTTCCTTGAATTATGTGAAGAAAAGGAATTGAGTTGAAGAAATAATCTTGTCGATCTTCTCCCAAGTCCCTGACTTCTCACTACCTACATTAGTGTTGCACAACAGAGCAGATTTCTCTATTTTAGCTCTAATTCCGGAAGCATTCTGACTGCTTCAGAATGACTTTGTGCTTGCTAGATGTGTCCACTTGATAGGCACGGTAGATTATGAAAAGTCACATGTCAAATGAGCACAGATCTCAAGAGCTGAAAATTGCAAGACCAAATGGGCCAAGGCCAACCCTGGGGAGTATCTAATGAACCAGAAGAAGGGGCCATCTTCTCTTCCCTCAGTCCCTCTGGGGAGGGGGGGTGGCTTCCTGGGTCCTCTATTACTTCTTTTTTTTTTTTAATTTTTGTTTAATGTTTATTTATCTTTGAGAGAGAGAGAGAGAGAGAGAGAGAGAGAGTGAGCGAGAGGGGGTGGGGAGCAGTGAGAGGGAGACACAGAATCCAAAGCAGGCTCCAGGCTCTGAGCTGTCAGCACAGAGCCTGATGCAGGGCTCAAAGTCACAGACCATGGAATCATGACCTGAGGTGAAGTCAGACACTTAACCGACTGAGCCACCCAGGCACCCCTCTATTACTTCTATATTTTATCACCCTGATGGTAATAAAAGGACACACAGCCTCTTTTGCCTTGATTTATATTAGCTTCTCCTTCCAAAATAAAATGTACGTGTATCAGTAGAGCAAAGACTTTAAGAAAAATCCACATCAGAGAAGAGCTTTCTACAGAGTAGGGGTTAGGGGTAGGGACAGAAGTATATAAAGGAACTAGGGGAAAAAAAGGAAAACCAAAAGAATATAAATTCAACAAAAATAATTGCCTTAATTTAGTATAAAGGAGGATTAAATTGTATATCAAAAAATCAGGACCAGTGATCAAACATGTTGATATTTTGTGTCCCTGAAATGTTGCAAGAAGGGCAGTGAAGCTCAGTGGTGTTCTTCTCAAACTTGACGCCAGTCTAATCATGACAAAAACATTAGGCAGACCCCAAATGAGGGACATTCTACAAAATACCTGGCCAGCATTCTTCAAAAGTATCAAGGTCATGAAAAATGAGGAAAGACAGAAAATGTCACAGACCAGATTAGATTAAAGAGCATGATAACTAAATACCCTGTGGGATCTTGAATGCAATCACGAAAAAGGAGAGGAAAGTAGCCAAAAAACTAGTGAAACCCAAAGGAAGTCTCAAATTTAGTCAATAATAATGTACAAATAGTAATTTCTTAGCATAACCAAATGCACCCTGGTGATGTAAGATGCTAACCTAAGGGGAAACTGGGTGAAAGGGAACTCTCTATGCTGCTTTTACAACTCCTCTGTACTTCTGAATTTATTCCAAAGTTTAAAGTTTATCTTTTAAGAAAATAGACAATATTTGACCATGAAAGGAATTTTGCACTCACAAGAGAAAGCCACTGTGCTTCTGTTAGTATTAGTCTGATTGTGTGGTGTACTGAAAAATAGCTATCAATCGGGTTTTAAATAGCCCTTGGGAAGTTATTTGTTAAAATTCAGCTTCCTCTGTTCATATGTGAGGCAATGTGACATAGTCAAAAGAATATTTCGTTGTATAATTGTTTGTATTGGAAAGAATCATTTTAACCTTTTTGGAACTTTGCCTCCTCATTCCAAACACTGGGGGAGTTGCAGTAAATTAACTTCTAATTGCCTAGAAGCTCTAAAACCATATGATTCACTTGAACAAATAACAGACTGTGAAAAACAAAAATCTTTCCAAATTAATTTGAGAATATCATTTGTGTGGCTGAGGCGAGAGGAACTGAGGTGTAGCGGAACTGTGATATGCTATTGTTTCTTCACCTTATCTAAAAAGTAACAATAAGGGAGGGTGCTCTGGAAACTTGGCAGAGGAGTCTGGAAATGCAGGGGTGGTGATGCTGGGCGGCAAATCTATGAAAAAGCGATGGTTTTTAAAGCCAGAGGGCACAGGGAAATACACCACAGGCAGAGAACGGTGAAATGCAAGAGCTGTAAGAGGACAAGTTATGCCGAAAAAGATGACATCTGGGACAACAAGGCCTGCTTGTGGCTTCTGAGTAGTCTGGAGACCAAGGCAGAGGCAAGCCCAACTCGGAATTCTCCTCCACGGCTCTGCCATGACAGAGTTCCAAGAATTATCGGAAAAGAGTCAGAGCTTTAAGATAAAAGGAAACCCTAAATCCCCAATAAAAAAAAAGGGGGGGGGCCCTCCTTCTCCAATGATGAATGGAATAAGATAGAAAATAAGAGCAAACTAGTAAGGACAATGACCTAAAGTATCAGATTACAGGAAAAGCCAGCCTTCCAAGGGCGGGCTAGAGCACCTGAGTGATTCATACTTTGAGCCAGCGCCCGCTGAATAATGACACCAAGCATCTGTATATAATTACCTACCGGGTACAGAGTGTTACCATGGTGTTCCTTCACATACACTAAAATAATCTTAATGCTTTAAAACAATTCACTTCACTGGGAAAAAGGAAAAGAAAAAAAAAGGTGGCCTCAAACCCTGAAGGTTATCTGTGAAAGAGGAATCCCCCACCCCCTTACCAACAGAGGAGTAAGACTATCCAATCTCGTGGCAGTGAAGTGTGGAGCAGTCCCAGGAACCAAGTTTTGTCACTTGGCCCCAGGGAGAGTTTGGGTGTCTCATCCAAAAGCATCTAATGGCTATTTTTTGGATGTCTAGTATGGGCAAATGTCTGGAAAACACAAAAAGAAAAGAGTAGAATCCTGTCCCTAAAGAGGTTACAATCTAAGAGCAGAGCCAAATACGTTAAAAGGAAATACATGATGCCTTTCTATTATAAGTTAGCTCTCATTTCTGTAATGATTTAAAACCGTTTACATTTATTCTCTGGAAAGATTTAGGCCTCAGAAAGCTCCGTGTGGTGGGCATTGTTCTTGTTATTACCCACCCCTGCTCCCATCAGCCAATGACAAATGTCCTTTGAGGCTCAAAGCGGTTAGGTGACCTACTTACAATGACACAGCCAGTGAGCAGTACAGTCAAACCCTGAACCCCGTGCTTTTTCCTGTTACAAACACAGATTTGTTGTCCCAGTTTGCCCTGAAAAATTTTCTTTTTATCTTTAATGTGCTACCACTCTACTCACCTGACGCACTGCTGACTCTCCTTCGGCGTAGTTTTATCATGAGTCCATCCTCAGTGAGGACGGTGGAGAGAACACCTCCGCTGCCCAGGGTTAGGGGAGGGTCCCTAGTACGTAGTTTTATGGTGCTTCCAATGGGCAGTGTATCTTCCACAGCCTGTTTTATGTTAATATCTCCACATAGAGAAAAATCTGGATTTCTTATTCAAAGTGACCAATTTAACTCAAAAATTATCTATTGTTTTTGTCACTCTCTCCACAACATTCTGAGTTTAACGTTTATTTATTTTTGAGAGAGATACAAAGTGCAAACAGGGGAGGGGCAGAGAGAGAGGGAGACACAGAATCTGAAGCAGGCTCCAGGCTCTGAACTGTCAGCCCAGAGCCCAACACAGGGCTCGAACCCATGAACCATGAGATCACGACCTGAGCCAAAGTGGGATGCTCAACCAACTGAGCCACCCAGGTGCCCCCCACAACATTCTGAGTTTGGATAAAATGAAATATATATTCTTATAATGAGACTTGGATGGAAAGTGTCTATCACAAGGAGTGAAACAAGGGAAATACCTGTCAAATGTTGAACACATCCTTCCCCAGCGTAGGAAGCAGCACACCCTGACTTGGGTCTGGGGATCTGGAGAATCCCTTCCACTCTCTCTCTCTCCAGATTTTTATCCCCTATGAAAGCTGCTTTTCACCATTATGAGAAGGAATGCTTACACAGTGTGTTCAAAGTGAGTGCTCCTTCAAAGTTATTTTTATTATTGTAAGTACACACAAACTATGAAATTGATTTGAGAAGCTTGTAATTATTGGTTTTCGTTTGTCTATGACTCTCTGCAGATTCCATTAATCCTTCCTTCATAACAGTCAAGTTACAATTGGTCTCCTATTATGACCAATGTCTCAGTTGATATATTACCAAGCTAACACAAAAATTATACTTAGAAAGGAGTTCTAAGACAATCATGAGTTATTACATGCCATCCAAAATGACATTTTAAAAGCTGAGCTAACAAATCACTGTCACCCAGCTACAGACTTTACAAAGCTACACTGAAGAGTTGATCATGAAACGCTAACATTTACAGCATGTCTCACAAATAAATATTCGGCTGTATTTATTGGTTTGAAAAGTAGCCTTTCAGAGTTAATTACCAAGATTTCCTTTCAACAGATAAACTACTGTCCAGCAAAACAAAAATTGAAACTCTTCTTCCAATGTAAATCCTTCTACATATAAAAGAAGAGAAACGATGAAGAAACTTTTGAAAAAAATTTTCAGTGGACATATTTATATATGACAGTTTCACACTGAATAAAGTTTTAGCATGATTTATTTTAAGACAAAAAAATGATCCCATGCCCTTTGGCCACATAATAAAAATATATTTTTATAAATATATATATCTTAAATATGTTAAAAATTTATTTCTTACCTCTGAATTTCTTGGGAGGGTTGGCAAGGTCTCCCGCCTCCGGGTGCACCACACATCTATCATCCACTAACCTAGAAGAAAAGCGTGTTTACATCGTTAACATCGTCATGTTCATACAGCACAGACTGCATGTGGCCATTGTATAAATATTTACAAAGAGTTTTAATACCATTTTCCACCATTAAAGTTTTTTACAATCATAAATTTATAAAAAGATTTAGGCCTTGCCGGCCTTATTCCTTACCATACAGACTGCTTCTAGAAGAGACCTTGATACATACTAGGTACTCAATGAATATTAACCAAATGAATAAATCATCTTTGTAGTTACAAAATCATACTTAATGCCTATTAAAATATTTATGAGAAGCCAACTTCTAGGACAATACCAAGAGAAAGAAGCTCTCAGGCACAGGACTTGAAAGCCAGGAGACATGAACCTCCTGATCAAAGAGAATTATCTAGCTATCAAAGCTTCTTCACGAACGTTCATTTTCTTCATTGACTAAGTGGTAGGAATAACTGGATTTTTTCCAGGATATTGTGAGAATGCATGTAATTTACTAAATTTATGAATTCATTTCAAAGTAGGTGACCAAGTTGCAACAAACAAAAAACCATTATAACCAGAATCACTACTTTGCATCAACTCCAGCACAGAGTAAACCCCAATTTGTGACTCAAGTGTCCCCTTGACTTAGGATGATTAACCAAATCAAAATGAAACTTTTGGTTCCTGATTTATCTGGTTACCAAAAGCAGACACTTCCTAAATCACCAGATTGTTCTATGGCATCCAATTTCCACAAAACAAAATGCCAATTTGGTCGAGCAATATGGCTCTTTGATATTTCTTTCTTTAAATAATATACTTCATTCACACTGGTATACTAACATGTGGTTTTACAAGAGCTGCCAAGCATGCAAGATATTCCTTTTAAAAGTCTTTAAAACTGTTTTTCTTAGAAACAGGAAGTCACATTGGGTCAAGAGAAAGCAAACCCAAACCTTCACAGTATCCAAGTTCAGCCTATAACACTAAATATGAAAGGCTCATAGAGTCCTGAGAATGTCACAACATAATATTTAATTTTTTTTAATGCTGTGAATTAAAGGTCAGCTTTTCTAATTACTTAAGACATGTTAAGAATTCAAAACATATGGAAACCAATTTGACAATAAATTTCATATATAAATAAAAAAAATAAAAAATAAAAAATAAAAAAAAAGAATTCAAAACATAATGATCAAAACAACCATAATCTTATCTAGAACACATAAAAGTTCTATGAAAAACAGCATTGACATTCTACTCATTCTTTGTGCACACCCGATTCCCCAGATATATAGGCTTCCACTATAATGCCCACTAACAGTCCCCACCTGCATTCATTAATCATCAAGAGGAATGGGAAAAACTGAAGCTATAAATCAGATCACAGTGCATTTACATAAACACTATGCCTATCCATTACATGATAGCCCAGATTAAAACATAATAATTACAAATGATTTCAGTTCTAAGAATTGGCCCTGTTCCTTATATACAAACATCTGTGAAAATCACAAAATCATTTCATCATACAGACTTAAATAACTGCAAATGAGAATGGAAGAAAGGGAAGGACAGGATAGGAATGGGGAAAAAAGCAAGGAAGTGTGAATCTGTTACAAAGCCATATACAATCATTGATGCTAAAAGTTACACAGGATTTTAATGGTAGTTATTGGCAAAACTTCTTAATTACCCCCCAACAGCCTCTTCTTAAGTTATCTCCAAGGTCAGAGTATTCATCATTTACCATCTTTCTGATAGTATTAATATCACAAAGGTGTTTTACATGGAGGGGAAATAGCATCCTGGCTTTCCCATTACCATACTTTTCATCACATTTTCATTAAACTGCTTGCTTAATTGTCTGGATCTTCTAATAAATCGCAACTTCATGAAGTCAGGAACTGAATCCATCTTGTTTACTAGTATATCTTTGGCAACTTTGGGAATGAGTTACAGTAGATACTAAATATTTGTTATATGAATAAATGAGTTGATGAATAAATGAGACTTACTTCCCAAATAACTTTCCCTTTTTAGTCCCAGTTCTTTCTTCTGGAATGATGTAGACTAAGTTTTCTTATTCTTGGATGAATGAAACTATTTCTCTCTAATTCTTTTCCGTAGGGATATTTATCAAGGAGATCAACATCCTTTCATACACCTCAACTGTCAACATGCCTCTTACACATGAACCTAGAAACTACCCACATGAGTCCAGATGTGTTCTCCAACGAATCCTCCCTAGAGGACCCTTCCCCACTTCTCTCTAATACTAAGCTTACAGTTAGTTATGTGTCCCAAAATCATGGCAGCTTCCATGGCAGACAGGCCCACCTTTGACTCTCATTGGGTTTATAGCTAACCAACAATTCCAGGTCCTTTCCGTGTGTGTACTATCAGTACAGGTAGTCCCTCTCACCCACCACTGGGGCAGTTAACTTTTACAACCTAAGACAGGAATTTACAACTGAATAGGGATAAATACAAAGATCAACCTTTGGCCTCTGAGCAGAAATTATCTAAAAACCATCCATTCCATCCTTGGCTAGTTCATTTAAGAGACCCTGCCATGATCAGTGCCCGTTTTAATCACTCACACACAGTATTTTCTAAATTTGGCTAAGTGGCTGCATTGTGTGCGGAGTTAAAATCATCATCATCTTCATCATCATAATACAACAACATAATACAACAACAACAAGTTTCTTTGGTCCAGATCTACAGAACCAAATTTCTGGGGATCAGGACCAAGAATCTATATTTTTAAAAAAATCTCTCAGGGCATCTGGGTGGCCCAGTCAGTTAAGCGTCTGACTCTTGTTTCTACTCAGGCCACGATCTCACGGTTTGTGAGTTCAAGCCCCACACTGGGCTCTGTGCTGATGCTGACAGCACAGAGCTTGCTTGAGATTCTCTCTCTCCTCCCTCTCTGCTCCTCCCCCCGCCCAACTCTTTAGTTCTCTCTCTCAAAATAAATGAATAAACTTAAAAAAAAAAACTCTCACCTTCCTTAAATGGATCAGGAGTACCTATTCTTCACTCTCATAGTAGTCTAGGCTACCCTCCATCAATAAAACTTATCACACTCCATCATAATTTTTTACTTATATATAGGTCTCTAATACTATAAATTATAAGTCCCAAGAGAGTCGGTCCATCTGTTTTGCTCACCATAATATGCCCAACTTTAAGCATTAGGCCTCAAATGTGAAAGGTGCTAAATAATTATTAACTGAGTAGATGACTGGATGACTTTTTGAATCACCGAATAAGTCAATGATGTTATTTTTGGTATGTCAAAATTAACTGGAACCAAAAAACAGTTGCCTAAAAGTAGATGTAAGGAAGGGTGGGAAACATTTCCCATCCAGATGTGTTTCTGAAAATTATCAAAAATACCAAATCCTGGGGAGAGGGAAGATGGCGGCGTAGGAGGACGCTGGGCTCACCGCGCGTCCTGCTGATCACTTAGATTCCACCTACACCTGCCTAAATAACCCAGAAAACCACCAGAGGATTAGCAGAACGGAGTAGCCGGAGCCAAGCGCAGACGAGAGGCCCACGGAAGAGGGTAGGAAGGGCGGCGAGGCGGTGCGCGCTCCATGGACTGGCGGGAGGGAGCCCCAGCGGAGGGGCGGCTCACCGGCCAAGCAGAGCCCCCGAGTCTGGCTTGCAAAAAGCGGAGGGGCCTGACGGACTGTGTTCCCACAGGAAGCGCGACTTAGCGTCTGGGAGGTCATAAGTTAACAGCTCTGCTCGGAAAGCGGGAAGGCTAGAGGACAAAGGGAAGGAAAGCTGCTGAGCCCCCAGACGAAAGAGCTCAGTTTGGTGGGGAACAAAGGCGCTCGCCAG